AGCTGGAATTCTTCTATACAAAAGAGATTTCCCTCGTAAACAATTTGGCTACCCTGAGATAGAATTTGTGTAGTAACGGCAGATGGATGCTTGACTCCATTCTTTCATTTACCATTTTCCAAAATGAGTTGCATCCTTCATATTCTCCAAGGAGACCCAAAGAGGTTTCAGTTTTAAAACTGCTGTTGTTAGGTGTCATTATCATTCATGCTTCTAACGCAATTGATGTGATGCAATTCACTGCAGCTTATCATTTTGATGCTCAAATTGTCCTTTCTTTGGCTAATGAGAGCTCCTTCGAATCAGCTCCCAAGTCTTTTCAGCACTCCCCTTGTAGTCCTTGATACTTTCTTTGCTTTCCATGCTCAGCTTGTACATCTTTAATCTATTTGAGACCTGGAATCAGCCATTTCCCCCCCAGGAGTCCTGGTTTCCTTTCACAGGAAATGGCATATAGACTCAAGAATGTGGATGCTCATGGCTACTGGGTTGGTCCTTGTTTCTAGGCCTTTTCAGTGGACAGAGCTAAGAAATACTTCTTTAGAAGAGATGATTCAACATGAGTCCATGCTATTACTTTTTTGCTCTATTCTTCAATATATAAACTGTTTATTAAAGAATATTATATTATTCTCAGGAATATTATTACTAATAACATTATTACGAATAATATGATTACAAAAAACAGGCTAAGATTTCTTTGTAATTCTTTTCATCCTTCGTATGTACCTACTAGGGAAATACAATCAATCTATGTGTTTTAAAGTAATTTAAATAACCCGTTTGACTAATCTACCAACATGAAAACACAGGTTCATTTGTTTCATTTTGTTTTCAAAATGTGTAGGTTGGTTTTCCACTTTGATTTCATTTTGTTTTAACAATATGTAAAATATTTACATGGTTCCAAAGTTAAAACTTTTAAAACAGGTACAGTCAGAAAATTTTAGCTGTTCCATCCTATTCCTGCCACCACCTACAGGTAAAATTTTTGGTTTGAGTTTGTTTCCTTTCTTGTGCTTTGCTTTATAGTGCTTCTCACTTTTTATAAATTGAAGGTTTGTGGCAACCCTGCATTGTCAGATGATGGTTAGCATTATAATGCTAATGCATATTCAACAGACTACAGTATAGTGTAAACATAACTTTTATATGTACTGGGAAACCAAAACATTTCGTGACTCACTTTATTCAATATGCACTTTATTGTGGGTCTTAAACCAAACCCATGATATCTCCAAGGTATGCCTGTATAAACTAATATATATTCATATACCCCTTTTCTTTTTTTTTTTTTTGTGGTACGCGGGCCTCTCACTGTTGTGGCCTCTCCCCTTGCGCAGCACAGGCTCCGGGCGCGCAGGCTCAGCGGTCATGGCTCACGGGCCTAGCCGCTCCGCGGCATGTGGGATCTTCCCGGACCGGGGCATGAACCCGTGTCCCCTGAATTGGCAGGCAGACTCTCAACCACTGCGCCACCAGGGAAGCACCCCCCCCCCTTTTTTTTAACATCTTTATTGGAGTATAATTGCTTTACAATGGTGTGTTTGTTTCTGCTTTATAACAAAGTGAATCAGCTATACATATACATATATCCCCATATCTCCTCCCTCCTGCGTCTCCCTCCCACCCTCCCTATCCCCCCCCTCTAGGTGGTCACAGAGAACCGAGCTGATCTCCCTGTGCTATGTGGCTGCTTCCCACTAGCTAGCTATTTTACATTTGGTAGTGTATATATGTCCATGCCACTCTCTCACTTCGTCCCAGCTTACCCTTCCCCCTCCCCGTGTCCTCAAGTCCATCCTCTATGTCTGCATCTTTATTCCTGTCCTGCCCCTAGGTTCTTCAGAACCTTTTTTTTTAGATTCCATATATATGTGATAGCATACGGTATTTGTTTTTCTCTTTCTGACTTACTTCACTTTGTATGACAGACTCTAGGTCCATCCACCTCTCTACGAGTAACTCAATTTCGGTTTTTTTTATGGCTGAGTAATATTCCACTGTATATATGTGCCACATCACCCCTTAGATAAAAGTCATCACAGTCTATGCATTAAAGAAAAATCCACTTTAAAAAGGTATACTTACTTCTATGTATAGGCTTTTTGGAGGTTTCATATCCTGTGTGATGTCCAAACCTTCATCTCCTCCCAACGACCTCATGTAGGTAGCAAGGGACTTTTTGTAATGATTGAACCATTCCATCTACAAACATAAAGATGGCCATTTGACAAAGCTGTAAGAAAACAAACTTGCAGAAATTATATACTAATCCTTTCAAAAACAGCACACATCCCCACATGGATCATTACTACGACCATTCATTCAAACTACAAATATTAGTGACTGCCTGTTATGAACCAGGCACTGGTCCAGGTACTTAGGATCATTTAACAAAGTGAACAAACATCTCTGTTCTCACAGAACTTGCATCCCAGCATACTTAATCACAGACCTAATGAGCTTTCCACCAGAAACCAAACCATGAAAAATACACCATTTCAGAATTATGATCTCTTCAAACTTCAAACTCTGTATTGACAGGTTTTCTGAAAGCTATAAAATGCTGTTGAGAAAAACACCCAAATGTCCATCAACTGATGAATGGATAAGATGTGTACATCCCTACAACGGGTTTATTCAGTCGTAAATCAGAGTGGAGCTCTTATATGTGTTACCACATGGATGAACCTTGAAAACATGCTGAGTGAAAAACACAAAAGGCCACATATTGTACAATTCCACTCATATGAAAAATCCATACTAGGCCAATCCATGAAGAAAGTAGAGTAGTGGTCTCTAGGGCCTGGGAAGAGGGGACAGAATATGTTCTGGATAAGATGGTGGTGATGGATGCACAACTGTAAATATCCTAAATACACTGAATTGTATACTTTAAAAGGATAAACTTTAGGGGATGTAAATTATACCTCAGTAAATCTTTTTTTTTTTTAATTGTTGAGATAAATTAAAGAAAAGCAAAATATGTGGAAGGATATACCACTTTCAAGGATTGGGTGATTCAGTATTGTAATAACGTCAACTGATCTACAGATCCGATTCAATCTCAATCAAAACCCCAATTTTTTAAAAAATGGAACTTGATAAATTGAGTCCAAAATTTGCAAGTAAATGCAGAAGGCCAAAAGCAGTGAAGACATTGAAAAAGAAGAACAAGATGGGAACACTTACTCAAGACTATAAAATTCCAATAATTTAAACAATATTAAATTGGTACAAGGACAAATAAACTAAGAAAGAAGAGAAAGTCCCCCATCCAAAATCCACAAATATATTGACATTCAATTTATGACAAGAGGCACTGTGCACAGAGCAAGGGGAAAAGAGAACCTTTTCAATAAATGATGCCACCTCAATATCCATATTCAAAATGCAACTAGGCTCTTACATTATTCACAAAAATCTATTCCAGTACTGTAAATCTCTTTGTGAAAGGTAAAACAAGATAACTTCTAAAAGACTATACACGTAACCTGCATTAGTAAAGTGTGTGTGCGCATACATACACACACCCCTCCCTCAGGTTAAATAAATTGCCAGAATGACTCACAGAACCCAGGAAAGCACTACACTGACAATCACAGTTTTATTGCAGATACAAATCAGAACCAGCCAAAGGAAGAGACATCCAGGATGAGGTCTGGGAGTTCCAAATGTGAAGCTTTGAGTATCCTCTCCCTGAGGAATCAGGAAACACCACCCTCCTGGCACACTGATATGTAACAACACACACAAAGTACTGTCAAACAGGGAAGCTCACACAGCTCTGGGGTACCATTGCATAGGCTTGATCGATTGATCAAATCATGGTTGATTGAATCACAGGTGACTGAGCTCTACTTCTAGCTCCCCTCTCTTCTCTCCAAGTTGGACTAATATCAGGAGGCTAAAAGCCCCAAACCTGAGGGGATGGTGGGAACCTCTGAATTTGTAGCCAGTTGGTCAGAAGGGAGGGTGGCCTTGGGAACCTCAAACTTTACGGCTGGTATCTGAAGTGAGAGCAGTCTTAAGCTATGAAGTCTGGTCTAACTTTAGGTAGTGCCCGAAGTCACTGCAACACCGCGGGCAGTATGACCCTCACTTTGTAAATGAGGGAATTTAGGCACAGGGAGAGGTCGAGTCACTTGCCCAAGATCTGACAGTGGCAGAGCCAAGGTTTGTACACAGGTTTGCTTGGCTCCAATCCTGTGTCCTTAAATATTGTCCCTTAATGACTGGATAAATCAAGAATTCAAGTATTCACATTGATAAGCAAATTATGTATACCCACATATGTTATGGAAAATCTCCCAATAATAATGCCAGGTTTTTCATCCTACTGATGGATCACTAACAAGTAACATAATGGGACCCTTTATTTTGTTAAGTAATAGTAGTTTTCCATATAGCATTTAGAATTACTCCTACCATTCTCATCACAGTATATATTACAGACCAAAAATTACTCAAAAACAAATGTTAAAACAAAAAATGAGAAATACTATAAATACTATTACAGAACACTGCCATAACCTCAGTGATTTTCCAAATTCACAAATTTGAACAACAATGCTGACTTACTTCTTCAGCAGACATGTGAAATCGTAAAGCACTTGGCAAGACACTGCCACATTCCCACCTGAGTGCTCTAATCCGAAGCAATCGGTCATACCTAGGACATTAATAAGGTATTAGATGGCATAACAGAGGGATATCAGAAGTTGTTTTGATCAAGAGAGACTCCAGACTCAAGCACCAAAATTTAACATGTGGACTTTTATTTGGTTCCTGAGGCAAACAAACCATTGTAAGAGGACATCTTTGGGACAACAGGGAGAATAGGAATACAGGATGGATGGATGCTGTGAAGTCGGGTTCATTCCTCTAGGTATGAGAATCATAGTGGTCATGTAAGAAAAGGTCCAAAAGGTCCTTATTTCTTAAAGATGCATACTAAGGTATTCAGCGGTAAAATGCCCAATGTTCTACAATGTTTTAGCATAGACAAATAAAACAAGATGAAGCAATTATGGCAAAATGTTAAGAATTGTTAAGCCTATATGATGGCTCCATGGGGGTTTGTAATATTATTCCCTAATTTTATGAATACTGCAATTTTTCATTATAAAAAAATGTTTAAATAGAAAAAAAAGAAGAATTTAGAATGCTTATAAAAGACAAATCTAAGAATTCCTGTTATCCATATAAAATGTTTAATTAGGAAACCACATGGGAACCCTCCACTGCTCCCTGCCACCCCAGCAAACACAGAGAAGCTCACAGGTATGCTACAGTGCAGCGCTGATTTCTTAACAAAGAACAGTGTCGAAACTTGATGGTTGGTATCAAATCACTTCGTCCACCTGACTTCGCTTCATTCCTGGTAAAACATTTAAGGAGGAAAAGAATGTCTATTTCAGTATATGTCGAATTTTCCAAGCCAACTAACAACTGACTCCATGCTTGTTTTTATCCATTTATGTTAGCAGTTAACCTACCCAAATAGTACCTGCCTCCACATCAGAGCTTTTGCTAACATGTTAAAAGATTTAAAAAGCCAAAAGCTAACTAAATTGCCTAGGATCACATTCTCAGTGTTTTGTTTAGCCATGTGGCACTTTGCATTTTGCACACTGATTAATCTCCATTGTCTCCAAAAGACAAATATTGTGTTTCCTCACTTTTTGCAATCACTTTTTCATGGTGGGATAAGCGACAGATCGAGTATCACGGTGCATAAGATTATGGCCTCACATCATGTTCTGATCCTTTGGAGTCCTCTTTTTGTGGTACTTCCAAATCCTCATTCTAATAAAGTGAGCTAAGAATTCTGGAGTCAGATGGTCCTCCACTCATCCAACAAATATTTATTGATCTTCAACTATGTGCATGTTCTGTACTTTAGGGTCCTTCACACAGAGAGGGAGAAAATTTTGGTTTTACCCTATAAAATATATATCTCCTTGGATATTAGACGAGTATTGCACTTTAAAACCAGATGTTTGGGAATTCCCTGGTGGTCCAGTGGTTAGGACTCTGCACTTTCACTGCTGAGGGCACGGGTTCAATCCCTGGTCAGGGAACTAAGATCCCACAAGCCTCGTGGCACAGCCAAAAAATAAATAAATAAAATAAAATAAAACCAAATGTACAATTGTTTAATGGGTATGGTGTTTCAGTTTTACAAGATGAAGAATTCTGGAGATGATGGTGATGGCTATATGACATTATGAATGTACTGAATACACTGAACTGTATGCTTAAAAATGGTTAAGACAGGGGACTTTTCTGGTGGTCCAGTAATTGGGACTCCACACTTCCACTGCAGGGCAGGGGGCAGGGAACTAGGATCCCACATGCCCCACAGTGTGGCCAAAAAAAAAAAAAAAAAAAAAGTTAAGATAGTAAACTTTATGTGATGTGTATTTTACCATAATAAAAAAAAACTGGAAACAAAACAAAACAAAGCCAGGTATACAGAATGAATTAGAATCTACTCTGGAGTTTTAAAAGGAAACAAATACAAAATATACGTGCCTGCGCCAGGCCCTGAAAATAGAGGTAAAATATATGTCCCATTTTACCATGTCTTCTAGATTGTTCTATACACTTCTGCCACTCTACAAACGTTAGATTTATTCTCCACATTTTTTTGTTGTTGTTTTTTTGTTTTTGGCCACACCAAGAGGCTTGCAGGATCTGAGTTCCCCAACCAGGAATCGAACCCATGCCCCCTGCAGTGGAAACACAGAGTCCTAACCACTGGACAACCAGGGAATTCCCTATTCTCCACATTGTTTACAATGTGCTCTGTATTATAAAGAAATAGCACAAATAAAATACAGCCAACCTAACATCAGAGTATTTTATTAGGTACATAAGAACTTCCTTAAAAAACTCACATTTACACATGAGTAATTAAATAGGAATAGATTTCTTCTGAGAAATAATTTTAACCAGAAACTGGTAATAGTGACTGACCCCCAAGAACCAAACTAGGAGGATAGGGCACAGAATTTTGGATCATGAATTTCCAGATGGTATGAATATAGGAAAATCATCCTCTTACTGGACCAAGGCCTGTTAGGCCACCTCCTAAATATGTCTATAAACTGTTCACTTTCTCCCTAGTCTGGCTTACCTCTCCTGCCACCTGCATGACCAGCATGCCTCCCTATCCTCTCAGCCCCTCCATCTACTAACCACAGCAGCAGCCAGGGTGGTCTTTTAAAACACAAACATGCCTCCCCCTGCCCCACATGCTTAAAAATCTCACCTGGTGTCACCCTTTGCCTGCTCACTAAGTTTCAGCCACACTGGCTTTCTTTAATGATCAGTTCCCTGAGCATCCCACCCTCTTTCATGACTCAGGGTCTTTGCATATGCTGTTTCCTCCACCTAGAATGCTCTCTGCCCCAATTACTGCCTCGCTAAAACCTGCTTCTCCTTCAGGCCCCAGCTGAAATGTCTCTTCCTTGGAGAGAACTTCCCTGATTCCTCAATCTACTAATATTTTCAATTCATTATTCTCTCCTAGTGCTGCTGTTTTCCTTCATAGCATGTATTCCAACTTGGTGTATCTGTATTTAATATCTGCCTTCTGCCTTACACTGTGAGGTCATGGGGGCAAAAATCTTGATTATGTTGTTCACAATTGAAATACCAGAGCCATTTATCAGCTCATAATTGTTTAGGACATATCTACTGAATGAACAAATGAACAGTTCAGGACTTTACATTTCCCTTACATTTACTGCAGACCCGTTGCAGTTCAGTTCCTTGTTCCATCTGTTTCTATCCTTAAATACAGTAACTGCAAAATGTGCCTACTGTTCTGTGTACTCCACAAATCTTAACAGCATAGTACTGATTTCTATGTCCAACTAACTGATGAAAACACTCTCTAACAAGGCCAAACATAAAACCTCATGTTGCAGACAGGTTGAGATCTGAATACTTCGCCTTTGATCCAGCAGTTAGTACTCTGTGTCCTACTCTTCACCAAATCACAGGACCCTATGAAGTTGGTCATTCAGCCCAAATTCTCCACTGGGCCAACTACCATGCTTGGCTCTAAATAGTCTGTAACTCAAGAACCCTCTCACCTACCAAGCCTTCTGTAGCACTAGTTCTCAGTGAACTCCATTCAAGATATTATAAGTCACTGCTGCTCCTGCTAAGTTTACAAACTGCCTGTTCTCCTTTTAACCCACTAAGTCTTCTACTGATGAAAACAAGCAGTAGAAACAATACATTTCACTTATTAAGGTTGTTACTTACTCCTGTCTCATCTCTTTGAGGTCGACCCCGATTCCTTTCAAGTCACATCAGTCAAACAACAAATATTTATTGAACATCTACCATGTGCCAAGCACTGTTTGAATCCCCATGGACATAGCAGTGATTAACACAAATCCCTCTAGTTCTGTATAGTTAGGGTATGATCAGGCTCACAGAGAATTAGAAAAACCAAATCATATCTAAAATCTAATGTTGGGACTTCCCCGGTGGCGCAGTGGTTAGGAATCCGCCTGCCAATGCAGGGTACATGGGTTCAATCCCTGGTCCAGGAAGATCCCACATGCCGCAGAGCAACTAAGCCTGTGCGCCACAACTACTAAGCCTGCACTCTAAAGCCCGCAAGCCGCAACTATTGAAGCCTGCGCGCCTAGAGCCTGTGCTCTGCAACAAGATAAGCAACCTCAATGAGAAGCCCATGCACCACAATGAAGAGCAGCTCCCGCTCGCCGCAACTAGAGAAAGCCCGCGTACAGCAATGAAGACCCAACGCAGCCAAAAATAAATAAATAAATAATAAATTAATTTTAAAATAATAAAAGAAATTTAAAAATTAAAACTGTTAAGATTATCTGATTTCAATATCATATTTCTTAAATTGTTTTAAAATATCAATCTTATCAACTTACACATCAGATTGGTTTTGTTCATATAAAGCTTTCATCTCCTCCAGAACTTGCCTGAGTCCATCCTCCTAGAAGATATAAAATTACACTCATTAATTCCCCCACCAAGTTTGTAGCAATATTTTATCTCTGTTTATCTTTGATTTATGTATGTTATCAAAAACCAATAGTACAGGACTTGCCTGGTGGTGCAGTGGTTAAGAATCTGCCTGCCAATGCAGGGGACACGGGTTCAAGCCCTGGTCCGGGAAGATCCCACATGCCGCAGAGCAACTAAGCCCGTGTGCCACAACTACTGAGCCTGCACTCTAGAGCCTGCGAGCCACAACTACTGAGCCCATGTGCCACAACTACTGAAGCCCTCGCGCCTAGAGCCTGTGCTCTGCAACAAGAGAAGCCACTGCAATGAGAAATCCATGCACCACAACAAAGGGTAGCCCCTGCTCGTCACAACTAGAGAAAGCCCACGCACAGCAACGAAGACCTAACATAGCCAAAAAAAAAAAACCAATAGTCCTTCCACACCTACTAGGATGGCCATGATAACAAGTGTTGGAGAGGATGGGGAGAAATTGGAACCCTTGTACAATGCAGGTAGGAATGTAAAATGGTACAGCCCTGCAGAAAACAGTCTGATGAGTCCACAAAAAGTTAAACACAGAATTACCATATTAACCAGCAATTCCACTCCCAGGTATATACTCAAGAGAACTGAAAACCTATGTTCATACAGAAACTTGTACACAAATGTTCAGAGCAGCATTATTCATAACAGCCAAAAAATGGAAACAACCCAAATGTCCAACTGATGAACAGATAAACCAAATACTGTATATCCATTCAATGTAATATTATTCAGCCAAAATAAGAAATGAAGTACTGATACATGCAACAACATGGATGAACCTTGAAAACATTATGCTTAGTGAAATAAGCCAGACACAGAAGGACAAATATTGTATGATTCCACTTATCTGAAATAGGCAAATTCACAGAGACAAAGTAGATTAGAGGTTACCAGGAGCTGAGGGGAAAGAGGAGTGGGGAGTTATTGCTTAAAGGTTATAGAGTTTGTTTGGGGTTATGAAGTTTTGGAAATAAGAGTGATGGTTGCACAACAATGTGAATATAATTAATGCCATTGAAGTGTACACTTAAAAATGGCAAATTTTAAGTTATATATATTTTACCATAATTTAAAAAAATAAAAAGGAATGAATTACTAACACAAAATACGCAATTAACATACTGATTAAGGATAATCTTTTTTTTTTTTTTTTTGCGGTATGTGGGCCTCCCACTGTTGTGGCCTCTCCCCTTGCGGAGCACAGGCTCCGGACGCGCAGGCTCAGCGGCCATGGCTCACGGGCCGAGCTGCTCTGCGGCATGTGGGATCTTCCCGGATCGGGGCACGAACCCGTGTTCCCTGCATCGGCAGGCGGACTCTCAACCACTGTGCCACCACGGAAGCCCAAGATAATCTTGAATATACTGTACTGAGAAAAGAAGTCAGACAGAAAGGAGTACACACTGTATGCTTCTAACTGGCCCCGTCCAGAAAAGTTTGCAACTCCGAGCATGCTGACTCCATAAATACATTTAAAAAGACAGATATAATCTGTAGCACAGAAAGAAAATCCATGGTTGCCTAAGGCTGCAGATGGGAGGTAGCTAGTAGCTACAAAAGAGAAAAGGGAATCCTTGGGGTGACAGAAATCTTGACTGGGTTGCTGGTTATAAGGATTGTATACATTTGTCAAAATTCAAATGTCTATTAAAATGTGCATTTTGTTGTATATAAATTATACCTCGATAAAACTAATGACAAAAAAAATCAATAGCCCTATAGAAGCAATAATGCATGACAAAAGTACATAATTTATTATTTACTGGAAAATGATCTTAAAAGGTTACTACCAAAAAAAAAACCCACTGCTAGAATAGAAAATAGAAAGGTCAAAAGAGTTTTTCTACTTGAGCAAATCATTAGAGAAATCATTAGGCAAATCATTAGAGACAAGCAAATCAAAACCACAATGAGGTATCACCTCACACCAGTCAGAATGGCCATCATCAAAAAACTATAATCAATGCCGGAGAGGGTGTGGAGAAAAGGGAACCCTCCTGCATTGTTGAGGGGAATGTAAATCAATACAGCCACTACGGAGAACAGTATGGAGGTTCGTTAAAAAACTGAAAATAGAACTACCATACGACCCAGCAATCCGACTACTGAGCATATACACGGAGAAAACCATAATTCAAAAAGATGCATGCACCCCAATGTTCATTGCAGCACTATTTACAACAGCCAGGACATGGAAGCAACCTAAATGTCCATCAACTGATGAATGGGTAAAGAAGATGTGGTACATAAATACAATGGAATATTACTCAGCCATAAAAAGGAACGAAATTGAGTCATTTGTAAGGATGTGGACAGACCTAGAGTCTGTCATACAGAGTGAAGTAAGAAAGAAAAAAACAAATACTGTATTTTAACGCATATATATGGAATCTAGAAAAATGGTACTGATGAACCTAGTGGCAGGAATAGAGATGCATACATAGAGAACGGACTTGTGGACACAGGGGGGAAGGGGAGGGTGAGACAAATTGAGAGAGTAGCACTGACATATATACACTACCATGTATAAAATAGATACCTAGTGGGAAGGTGCAGTATAGCACAGGGAGATCAGCTCAGTGCTTTGTGATGACCTAGAGGGGTGGGATGGGGAGGGTGGGAGGGAGGCTCAAGAGGGAGGAGATATGAGGATATATGTAAACATATAGCTGATACATTTTGTTGTACAGCAGAAACTAACACAACACTGTAAAGCAATTACAATCCAATAAAGATATAAAACATACACACACACAAAATTTTCCCTTGGAAGGATAAAAACATTAGAATTATAAAATTCATAAATGTCACACAATAAGTCTGTCAACAAGCAACCTCTACACCTGAAACATTGTAAACCAACTATACTTCAATTGAAAATTTTTTAAAAAGGAGGAAAAAACCACTAATGCTATAACAACAACCAAAAAAACCCCACCCAAAACAAAACAAAGATAAGTAACCCATCTACTTTTAGAGCCAAAATATATGCATTAGCAAAAGTGCTTTGGCACTACTGGTATAATTACAGAATTACACTTTACTTAACCCTGCTCGAATATAAGAAATGACTCTTGATGAAAAATGAAAGCATGATTTCTACCTTTTCTTTCATCAGCTGGTTAAAAAGAGATCATAGAAAAGTCTGATTTATTAGAATTCAGTTAAATATTCCATTTATTACAAATATTATTTTAAGGAATAGTTGAAACTCTTGCACAATTAGTAGATCAGCAGGTATACAAAAGACAAGTGTGAAATAATTTTTTAAAGATACCTAAAGTAATTTTTCTAAAAACTCACTTAAACGATTACCAGTTCTGCATGTAGAAAGTGCATAATCATTCCAATTGGCTGAACACAGCACCTAACCATGAGGGATTATGGAATGAACAAGGCAGAGTCCCTGCTCTAAACCAGCCATCATCTGCCTGGGAGGAATAATTCTTGAAAGTCTGTGTGGTCAAGAGTGTGTGGGGTCAATCAGATCAATTCTTGGTCTCAGCTCAGCTGTGCCAGTGGCCGGCCTCGAAGGCAGGCACGACTGCAAGAAAAGGTGCACCTCCGCCAACTAAGACCCAGAAAAGCGAGTGATTTTACAACTTCTAAGTCCGCCCCTGAGCCCCCCACCGCGAAGTGCGGAAACCAACACTTATCCTAAAATGTGAGTGAAAAGAGAGCTGGACTAAGGGTCTGAATAGCCAGCACCGTGGGCAGTCTCTGAGCCCTTGGGCTGGTTTCCTCCTATGTACCACGACCCCCAAAGGACCTAGTCTTCCGACCCCAGCGGGGCCACATTTGACAGCCTCCACGCCTCTGCATTCCAGCGTCTCTACTGAACCTCCCACTGTGGTCTCCTAACTTTTTAGATGAAGTAACTGTCTGAAGTTGCAAGAACAACAGACTGGACTCTAGGAAACCTGTATTCAGATTGAGGCTCTGGCTCCAATATGCTGCAAGTTCAGGCAAGTTGCTTAACTGGATCCATAATTTCCGCGGCTCAGTTTCCCCATACGTTAAATGACCTAAGTGTCAAACTAACTGCTCTTTAATGTTCAAAACAAAACTCACCTTCCCCAAACACTCCTCCTGCTGACTTCCGATGTTTATTCCGCTACCAGAGACAGAAGCCTCCCGAGATGCCGTCCCCTCTCCTCTCCCACTATCCATCCCATCTCCAGCCCTGTCCTCGTAGCTACAAGTCCCGCTGCCTCAGGACACGGCTTTCAGCACCCGCTGACAGGGCCGTTCGGACCATACACAGCTTTCGTGTGGTCTACTGTAACCACCCAAAGCCATTGTTTCTTCTCTTCGATCCATTCCCCAAAGTGCCGCCACAGTTATCTTCAAAACACGAAGAGTTACCCCATCGCTGCCCTGAAATGCCTTGTGAGTGAACAGCAAACCTCCCGGCCCCGGAGCCCCCTTGCGGCCCGCGCACCCCGCGCCGGTCGCCCTTCGCCGGCGGGGAGAGGGTGTCCGCACCGCCGGCTCCCCGGCGGGGCTGCGCTCACCGCATCCTCCCAGGCGCGGCCCTAACGCCCCGCTAGCCCGGTCCACACCTCCCCAGGGCAACTCACACCTGCGCTCCAGCACCCGTCTCCGGGCCTCTCCGGCGCGTCACCGGGGCGAGACGCCGACCGTCCAGACCGCGCGCGGGAAGCCGCATTAACCAACCCGGCCACATCCACCGCGGAGAACCACGGACACACCCGCCGTCCCGTCCTGGCTGCGCAGTCCCCAGAAAAGCCACCCCTGGGAGGCGCCCGCCCGCCCGCCGCCCTCACGTTGAAGGCCGGCAGCCTTCCCTCGGCCGCGCGGTGCAGCTCGCGGACCAGCTCCATGGCCCTCTCGCAGAACATGGTGGACGCGCCGGCCCTTACAGACAACCGGCTCTCAGGCAAACGGCCGCCTAACCAGGCCCTACGTCTTCAGCTCCTACAGGTCCGCGACGCGCTGGGCCGACCCCGCCTCCGCCCCGCTTTGGCGCCCAAACGCGCAACCAATAGGAGCGCACTGCCGGCCTCCAGGCTACGGCGGCGGCCAGGGGACAGTTGCCTCCGCTCTGCAGCCGCAGTGCCACAGGAAGCCCCACACCTGGGCGTTTGCGGACCTTGGTGTGGCTTAAGCCCAGCCCTCCTATCCAGGCCTTGGTCTGACCTCAGGCTGAGCCGCAGGACAGCTCCCGCGCAGCACAGCTCGGGATGGACGTACGTCCCCTTTTCCGTTGGATTCATTCATTCTCGTTTAGGTTAACGGGGGCGCGCACGATGCGGTCTAGAAGGCAGGCCCGGCAAAGGTGTGCAGTGATGTTAGCACCCAGCGTTGCGTCTGTTCGGTTTTGCAGTGTGGGTTTGTTTGTGTGATGGTAAAGGGAAAACAACTTTTATTGGGTATCTCTTGTGTGCTAGGGACTGTGACATACTTCACGTAATTCTCACGATTATCCTTAAAGTGGTTATTGACTCTTGGTACTGATTAGAAAACAGAAGTTAGAGAACTTGCCCAAGGTCACAGTTCGTAAAGTGACAGACCCTGTATTTAAGCCTTCAACTCCACCGTACTACATTTGATATTAAATCAGCCATTTAAAAACATGTGTACAATAACTCACAAGGTGGTTGTTGGGGATTGCCCTAGATTAACATGAATACACATAGCCATACTCCCGCCGAGATGATTACGGAAATTTTCATAACCATATAGAATCAAACGTGGGAATTACTGCTATGGAAACAATTCGTTTTATTTGGCTTTTTTTTTTTTTTTTGGCCCCGCGATGTGACATGCGGGGTCTTAGTTCTCAAACCCATGCCCCCTGCAGTGGAAGTGCGCAGAGTCCTAACCACTGGACCACCAGGGAATTCCCTGGTGGCTATTTTTTGTTTGTTTGTTTTAAACAGTGTTACTTTGGACTTCTCTGGAAGTCCAGTGGTTAAGGATCCACGTTTCCACTGCAGGGGGCGCTGGTTCCATCTCTGGTCCGGAACTAAGATCCCACATGCCAAACGGCCAATAAATAAATAAAATAAACAAACAACGTTACTTGGATCCATTCTATCTAACTCTAGAAACTTTGTTCCTCTTTTGCAAGTATAGATACAGTAGATGTGTGGTCTGAGAAATGAGCCTGGGAATGGCCTACAAAGCCTCTGAATCTTATCCTTACGTTTCCTTCCCAGCTCTACAGTAATGGATAATTTAGCTAAGTGTTTTTATCAAATACACAATTCTATAGTGTAATCCAAGGAACACCAGTATCCACAACCTTCCTTTGCCATAAACCTTTTCAATTTCAGACCTCAGGCCTGAGACTCACTTCCTTACCTATACAGTGGGGGCAGTAGTACCCACTTCTGGGGGTTTGTGATGATTCATTATTCCTTCAGCAAATATTTATGAAGTGCATATTCAGCATTGTTCTAGACACTGAAGATAAAGCAGCAAAGTCCCTGCTGTCAGAGTCTAAGTTCTAGTGTGGGAAACAGCAATACGCAGATACAGATATACTGATGACAAATATATTGGTGAAAAGTGCTAAGAAGAGTATAAGTCAGGGCATATACGTATAAAATAGTCAGGGCATATATGTATAAAATAGATAACTAATGAGAACCTGTTTAGCATGGGGAACTCTGCTCAATGATCTGTGGTGACCTAAATGGGAAGGAAATCTAAAAAAGAGTGGATATATGTATACCTCTAACTGATTCATCTTGCTGTACAGCAGAAACTAACACAACGGTGTAAAGCAACTATACTCCAATAAAAATTAAAAAAAAAAAGAGTGTAAGTCAGGGAAGGTGAACTGTGACAGTGAGAGGGCCTGAGGGTTTTGAGTTAGTGTTCAGAGAAGGCACAGACCTAAAGTGGAAGGGAGTTAGCCATGTGGATATGATGACTCATGTACATGCCACACACACCCTGGGGCCCCTGCCTCAGCAAGGAGGCAGTGATGCTGGAGCAGGGTGAGCTAGAGAGAGGCTGGTGGCTGAGAACAGAGTGAGGGTTGGAGGCTGAGGCCAAGTCAAGTAGGGCCCGTTGGCCCATTTCATAAGCTTTCGGTTTTATTTTCCATGAGGTGGGGAGCCATTGAAGTGTTTTGAGCAAATAAGTGACAGAACTGGATCTAGGGTTTTTAAAAAGACCTTTGTGGCCACTGGATTAAGTAGACAGAAGTGAGGCAGGAGACCATTCAGGCTATTATAAGAATCCAAGTGAGGGATTATGGCACTTTGGCCCATGGTGGAGGTGGTGAGAAGTGGTTGATCCTGGATAGATTTTGAAAGGAGAGCTGACCAGGCTTGGTGATAGACCTGCTGTGTCATGAGAAGGGAGGAATCAAGGATGACTCAAAGGTTTTGGCCTGAGGAACTGTAAGGATGGACTTAGCATTCTGGAGGTGGGGAAGGTTATGGATGGAGCTGGGGTGGGAGAAGAGCTGAGAGCTCAGCTTTGAACATGATTTTTGGTGCCTGTTGGATGTCAGAGTGGATGAGTAGACCACTGGATAGAGGAGCCTGGAGTTCAAGGAAGAGGTGTGGACTGGAGATACAAATGTAGGTGTCCCCATTGTAGGGTGACCTGGATAAGATTAGAGCCTGGATAAGATTACTTATAGAGTGAGCGTGGACCAAGAGTTGAGGACTGGAGCAAGGCCTAATACCAGCAAGAAAGACTCAGTACCCCTTACTCTCTTCTTTCCAGCCCTCCCTTCCTAGCTTTTTTGTTTTTCTATTGATTGGAAAGGATTTAGTGAGTGATAGAGTAAAAAAATGTTTTACACTTTATTTTCTGGATTCCCAGTCTCCAGTATGTGCTTCTACATTACTTTAAAGAATTCACCAAAAGTATATTTGGACAAATATGAATGCTGCTTGTGATATTTAGTAATATGGTCAGTGAAATTCTTTTGCAATTTCTAAGTATCATTACAAAGCTAATAAAAGGAGCTATTGAATTTCTAAAGACGTTTCTAATTGATCTTAAATTATCAGTTGCCAATAGTTTTCACTGGCACAAATGTTGAAATTACAAGTTACTTTGGAATAAATCAGCGAATCTCTTGGTTGTAGATCATTTGTTTAAAAAAAAAAAAAGCCATATTAAAGAAAGCCAAAGCTATAAAACTGAATAGGTGAAACTGCTCTTTCCTTTCTGTTTTTAGGATGGGTTGAATTAGAACTTAATTTGTGTTTCACAAGTGGGAATTTGTGAAATGGATTCTTCCCCCATCAGCTAGTTCTGCTTTGTAAAAATCTAAAATCTAATACTGTTTTTTTAAAAAAGTAAAATTTTTAAGCAGCTCAGTTTTCAAACGTTCGGCCCAAAAGAAAAAAAAAAGAAATATCTATACATTTCTGTTTCAAATTAAAAAACAAAACTACCAGATCACATATTTTTTAAAGAAAAGTCCTTGTGGGAAAATAGTTATAAATCATTATTAGGACAGAATTGTCATGTCACCTTCTTTTTGTTGTGTAAATTCTTATAAAACCTTTTTGGGGGTTTCCACTGTTGGGGGTAGTCAGAGAGCCGGGGATATGCGCGGAGTACCCTTCGGGCCGCTGCAGTGGGCACCAGGCGGGTTCGGGTCTAACCTAGCCCGACCCCTGCCCAGCGCTACTCCGCCAGTCAGCCGCGCCCGAACGGTGACGCGCCTTGCGGCTTCGTTTGCCCGTGTCCAAGATGGCTGCGATCGCCGCTGGGGATGTTGGGCGCGCCGGGCGCCGGGTAGGGGGCCCCGGCCAGCGTACCCGCCTACAGCCACTCAGCGCTGGCCAATCAGCGCCGGGAGGCCGCCGGCCCCGCCCCCACCCCGGCCGGCAGGGACGTCAGGGCGGCGGGCTCCAAGCCGCGGCGGCGGTGGTGGCTCACCTGAGCGGCTGCTTACCTGAGCGGCGGCCAGCGGCGAGGCCCAGGGCGAGGGTGAGGCCGGCGGTGCTGGCCACGGGATGAGGAAGCGGACCGAGCCCGTCTCCCTGGAGCATGAGCGCCACGCCGCCTCGGGCTCGTCCTCCGTCGGCTCGGCCGCCGCGGCGCTGGACGCCGACTGCCGCCTGAAGCAGAACCTGTGCCTGGCGGGCCCCGGGCCGGCCGAGCCGCGCTGCGCCGCCGACGCGGGCATGAAGCGGGCGCTGGGCAGGTGAGGAGCGGCGGAGGTGGGCCGGGACCCACAACCCTCCGGAGCTACTTGCCCTCCACCCCGCGTGCCCCCCGACCCTCTCCGGGCGTCCCCGGGTGCCTCCCCCGTGGGTCCCCCTCTGGCCCCCGCGTCCCCTTTCTTCCCGGGCGGGCCTGGGGGGCCCCTCTAGCGACCGGCAGGTGAGCGCCTCTCGACGAGGGTGGCGAGCTCCTGGACGCCCGGGAGCGCCGACTCCGCTCCGACATGCTCTGCGTCCGACTCCGACCCATCGTCCCTCTCGCCGGGTGGGCAGCTCACCGGTGCCTGAGTCTCCGCGGCACCCTCTGCTCGAAGGTGCCGGCCCCTCGGGGACGGTTGAGGGGTCGGCCGTGTCCAGGGGCAGGGGGTGCACCGCGTCCTTGGGGAACGTTGAGGGGTCGGTCGTGTGCAGGGACACGGGGTGCACCGCATCCTCGGCTGTCGAGGGGGTGGGGGGAAGCCCGGCGTTCTCCAGCAGCTGGCTGGTGGTACGTGGAATGTGTCCGCAGGAGTCGTCTCCTTGGGAATCTCCGTCCCGTGCGGAAGTCACCTGGTTATTTTCGGTCTCCCTTTGGGGAGATGAATGCGTTTATGTTAAATTAATCTCACAGTTGGGTTAGGGTCATATTTCACGCGGGCAAGTCTCTCCCCATAGGCTGGCTGTTTGTAGAATGTATCACTCATGGCAGTTTTGAAGTCTTG